AGTGGCACTTTGGTTGAAAAGAGAGGGGTTTGTTTTGTCTCACAAAGGTCTTCACCTTTATACCAGTACCTGATTCCTGCATGCATTGTCAACTTATCATCAAAACATTGTCATTCTGAAGATGATCCAAGAACCAAGTGGCTCCAAGTTTTCCGTACCTTCCTAAAAACATTCATGTAGAAGTACTTCAGAAAGAGAATGCATAGCATAAATTGTGTGCAAGGAGTTAATGTGTGTATTTCTTTTAAAAAATAGGTTTTCTTTTAAATACAGAAACACAAAGTGTGGGGCAAAGTAGTGTGGAATAAGCCTGGTGGAGCAGTACCTTTGGAAAAAGCAGAGGCTGTGGAGAAAGATGTTCAGAAACAGCACCATGATTCTCTTTATTTTTTCACTGAAGTAAAAATGAATCATAACCTTTCTACAGTTGTGGATGCTTTTGTTCAAGCTAAAATAATGCAGAGTTGGGGTGCAAGAACCTGGATGGATGAAGTGAAAGCTACTGTTAAGTGTTACTCAAATTGCTTCGTCTTCCTACTGCTTCAGAATTAAATGACATCGAAAGTCTTAAATCAGAAAGCTGAACTGTAGGTAACAATGGAACAGTAGAAGACAAAATACTTCTTTACAGGATGTGCCAGTATAGTCTGGTGTGCTAATAGATTCCTATTTATTTCCATGGGTGTGTCACAGGAAGCAAAAATGGATATTTAGTAATCATATCAAGGACAAAATAAGGGTTACATTCTGTGCTCATTAGTAATAATATATACTGAAAGTAATTCCAGTAATAATCAATTTTACCTGGCTGTACATAAAACCAGAATTGTATTTTTTCTTCTTTTGGGCTGTTTTTAATCATGGCATTTTTCTATTGGGCTTCTTGACTCTACAGCAGAGCTTGCAAAGCGAGCGCAAGGTGAGCAACAGCTCTGAACTTGGGAGAGAGCCTGGCTGCGCTGTTCAGTGCCCCGTGCATCGCTGAGGGCCAGATTGCATTCTCGGTCACTATCCCCTTTCTGGCGCTGGTGCAGAGTCCTTTCTGCTGCTCCGGCTGCAGAGGGACAGTCACCATCAGTGACCATAGTGTCTCCCCTCCAGTGTGGAGCACAGAAGTCTTCCCAGGGCTGTGGCGCTTCAGGACCAGACAAGGCAGTGTGAGTTCCCCGTAGGACTTAGCTGTGTATTCTCAGTTCACTGGCTCAGATCTCCCTTCAGGCTTTATTCCTGCCTTCCCCTATCATGTAATTCCAGGGTTTGATTTTATTTTCAATAAAGTGTGCTCAGTAAGTTATTTTCAGTAATTACTTGGATTTTTTAAACATTGAACATTTTGCACTGATGATGAATGGTTTGTTTCACACGCATGTACTTCATCAAAGCTGACGGTTGTCTAGTTTCCTTGCAATTCAGCTGCTGCACTGAAGATGTTAAAGCTGTGATTTGAAAGCTGCCTGCAAGGGCAGTGGTTACTAGTCAAGCGCCTGTCGCAGTCACGAGTGCGTGGCATTATGATGCACAGTTTGTGAAGAGGAATGGATTCCCTGTTTGTAGAAACAGGTGAAGGTGTCTATAACTGAGCAAAATTTCTAGCACAAATTGCATAGTTTACTGGCTTCCTGGTTAGGGACTGGGAAGTGGCCTAGAAGTGTTAGCATATCCTTTTCAGTTCTAAAAGTAAATACTGATATCTAAACAGAAAACAGACTTTTGGAAAGAGCCACTAAATGTGTGATGATGGGAAAATTTCTCGTTCTCCAGAACTGGAGTATTCATTCCAGTGAGTGAGATTGCTCATGTCTCAGACATACCCTCCATCTTGTTGACATTCAAGATGACACATCTACAGTGTTTTCTTAAGTAGTATGCAACCTTGCACTGAAGTAATCAGTTCTTATTTAACTTTTTTTTTTCCCCATACTCTTTAGATGTCTTTCTGTATAATCTAAGTGCTCTTTTAGGCTGTTCTTCAGACTCTGACCTTGATTAACAGCCAGAAACGCAGACACTCAAACAGACCCTGCAAAGGACTTCAGAGTGTTGAGTGCAGAAACTAGAAAGGGGCTGAAAATAGAGCCATAGGGCTTGTATCCAACAGAAACTCCATTCTAAATGTGTGTTACCAAAGTTGATAGGTATCCAGGCTCTATCCATTACAATATGCAAGATGCTTACCATGTGCCTCTGTACTGCTTAGAACAGTAGGCTTTGTCCACTTGATGTTACCCAGAGCTGGATTTGTTGCTCCAGTGGCCTTACTAAGCAACTGGGGTGGAAGATGGGTGGACAACAGCTTCCTCAAGCTGAGAAAACAGTTATTCTTACATCTTTTCTGGAGGAGTGATCCTCATTACTAATTACTACAGAAAATGTGAGGGCCAACACCTAGCTGAGATTTAAAAAAAGCTCCCGCCTCATTGCTTTGAAGCAAAGGCTGCTGGTGCTTAGCCTGAGGAGATCTACACTTGAGGGAGCCCCTGCACCCACCATGGCTCTGAACTCAAAACAGCAGCCAGGAGCTGCCAGTGAGCTGCTGTCAGCTAACATTCACCAATCTGGGACCTCTGCCTGCTCAATGACACAGCATGATAGCTGCTGCACGTTGGAAGAACACTTGAGGACCATTTTTCTCTTATAGATCTATTAAGGAGAGTAGTATAACTCTGATTTCCTTCCAGCAGGACAAGCCAGCTCCGAGGGTTTTGTCAGGTCAATTCCTTTGTCAAAGAGCAACATTAAGTCACAGTTTGGCAAGATTTTTCTACGCAATAGATCCTATTCCCTTTACATGCTTTTTAGTGAAGGTGAGGTGATCGTAGAATCACAGAATTGGTTTGGGTTGGAAAGGGCTTTAAAGATCATCTAGTTTAAACTGCCCTGCCACAGGCAGGGACACCTCACACTAGACCAGGTTGCTCAAAGCCCCATCCAACCTGGCCTTGAACGCTGCCAGGAATGGGGCAGCCACAGCTTCTCTGGGCAACCTGTTGCAGTGTCTCACCCCCTTCATAATGAAGTCTTTCTTCCTTATATCTAACCTAAATCTACCCTCTTTCAGTTTAAAGCCATTCCCCCTTGTCCTATCCCTACATAACCTTGAAAAAAGTCCCTCTCCAGCTTTCTTGTTGGCCCTTTTAGGTACTGGACGCTGCTCAAATGTCTCCCTGGAGCCTTTTCTTAAGGCTGAACAACCCCAGCTGTCTTGCCTGTCAGTGATGTGTGTGGTAGATTTGAAAGATCATCAACAGGTCCTGATAGCAACAGCAACACAGAAGACAGTACAGAGCGATTTACCTTGCTACCTGGCAGCTTTTCAAATACCACTCTCCCTCCTGTCTGTGTGTGTGCTGAGTCAGGTTTTGCAGCTGCCCTGGTTTTCAGTAGTCTTTTTTGTTGCACAATTTCCATATAAATTGATGCAGCTCTTCCTCCTGAACTGCCCTTTCGCAAAGTCAGCACTTCACTGCCTGCCACGGAGGCTGCTTTTGGCCAAGCTGTATTTTATTATGTATAGTACTTTTTAGTGAATAAGACGAAGTTTTCAAATGATAACCAGTGTCCTTCTCAGTAAGCAGTCAAAGCCCAGCTGCAGCAAAGCAAATGAGGATGGAGCAAAAGATGAGCCCTCAGTGAGATTCTCCAGAACCTGAGTCTGGTGTTTCTTTGCTGTGTGTGTCTATTTCTGCCATCACTTTTGTTCTGTCCAGTGTAAGTCACTGAAGGAGAACCTTCGCAGTTAAAAATGAGTCTTTATAGCGTGAGAGTGAGAGCCAGAATCTGTCCTGCAACACTATGGAAAAGAACATGTAACAACCTACCACTGAGTTAGCTATAGCTATCTACATAGGAGCAAGCTGTGTCCTCTGTTTACAACGCAGGCACTTGCAGTGATTTCTTTATGTAATGCTTTTATTTATTTACAGCCTCTGAAACAATATTTTCATTGCAGCTGCTAAAAATTCTTGGTTTGAGGATGACCTTTAGTACTGCAGAACTTTAACTGAATTTTCTTTCTCTGCCAGCTGAGGTTAAACCATGACAAATAATACCTGGCGAGTTGTTTTGGGAAGTTCAGCTTGGTAGCTAAGCCAGCTAACTTTAGGCACCTAATTAAGAGTCATTAAGACAGGGTGCCCAAGGGAGACAGGGTCACAGTGTAGGTTCCTGTGTTTGAACAGTCCTCTGGTATAATTTCTGTCATTTTGGTCACTGTGAGAAGCTTTAACAGATCAGTGTCTCCATCTGATTCAAGCAGATAGGAAACACTTTCAGAGATGCCTCTGAGTACTAGCTAGAGAGGTGCCTGCCAATGCAGGCTGTCTCCCTGGGGACTGGCTGCAATGAAACATTATGTGTAGACTATCCAGAAAAGTGTGTGTGTCCATAAGCTAATTGAGTCGCAGAGACTTTGTTGACGAGGGAGTCATGGACAACACAGAGACAATCGATGTGATCAAGCGATTGCCAAATTTATTACAAAGCCTTAACTCCTTATATACTATTTCTTACATGCAGTTACAGTGATTTGGCATATTATGATTGGACACATGTCTCGAAGACCCTTAGTGATTAACATATAATTGGTTAAGCACAGGTGTGAGAACTCAACCTCGAAAGCTTGGCAACAGTCCACAGTTCTCATTAACACAGTGAATGCCAGCTTCTTCTTATCTTGCTTGCTTAAGCTTCTTTGAGCCTCTCATGGCCTTGCTGTATCTTTCAGGATTATTCAGAGTTTATGTACTAATTATGCATTCTCCCTTGAGAACACTGTCTCCACAAGACTTCACTTTTAATACTAAATGTATAATTATCAAACCCTTCTTTCTACTCTTTAAAGTCATAAATACAATAATAGTAATGATAATAAGTCATAAATATTTCTAAAATACTGAACGGAAAAGTCAGGAAAATAAGTTAACAAACTAAACCTAATTTGCTTATTTATAATGGATTCTAACTTCAAAAATTAACATGAAATAATGGTCACTCTTTTCCAGCGATCAGGTGGGGCTTTGGCTGTCCCTTTGTGTGCATTTCAAGGAACTGTATCTCTTCAGGCACCCACAGGAAAAACACTGTCTTTATCCACCTACGAGGTAAGCACTGAAGGGCAAAAAATAACACCCATGTCAAAGAAAATTGAAGTATATCGATCTAAAAGTGTTGGTCATGAGCCAAACCCAGAGGAGTCTCCTGATACATTTGCTGACACAAGTGTTAAAATTCATTTAGAGGTACTTGAAATTTGTGACAATGAAGAGGCCCTGGATACTGTGTCAATCATCAGTAACATTAGCCAGTCCTCCACGCAGGTAAGGTCTCCATCCTTACGTTATTCAAGGAAAGAAAATAGGTTTGTCTCATGCGATTTAGGGGAAACTGCCTCCTACTCCCTCTTCATACCATCAAATGATCCTGACAGCGGTATTAACATATCAATTCCGGACACTGTTGAAGCTCATAGGCAGAACAGTAAAAAGCAGTATGTGGAAAAAGGTGGTTATCAGGAAGAAATACAAATATTGAATAAAGCATACATAAAACGGGAAGAAGATGGCAACAGCAATTAAAAGGCATTTAATCTAGACATCTGAAATGATTTGACAGACATTGCTCCTCTTGACTCAAGTTACCCTAGCAGATACAGTGTCAAATGTTTTTTCCTAGCAGATAAATAAATTTTATTTGTGTACACTGTAAATTAGATTAAAACTTTTAATGATATATGGATGGTATAACAAATACTTCAGTGCTTCACAACTTTGCATAGTGAATTTCCAGTTATTTATATATTTATTTGAGAAACACATGCGTCAAAAAGGAATCATAAATAAAGTTTTAAAAAAACAGCTTTGATTGCTTGTTGGCACTGAGTGGTCTGTCTGTGGGAACCTGTGGAAACTGAGGGAGCAGCTCCACAGGTGTGAGGTTCTGCTCTTTACTGATGTGCCAGACCTGAAATATTTATCTTAAAAAAAATGTAGCACAAGCACAAGTCAGTTTATTTAGTTGACTTAAGTAGAGGATTAGAAAGTTCTGTAAATGGTTTAATTTTCTCCTGCTCTATCCATGATTTTTATGTTAACAACCATGTAAGTGGCCAGTGTATAGACCTTTAAATGTGGGTGGCTGCAATGTAAGCATGCACATTTTGTAAATACAGCGTTGTTAAACTGAAGTGTTTTTGTGGTTGACATTTCTTTGATCAAATGTGACAAATGTTGGTTATTTTATGCTGTCTCCTTTTTCGCCTCCATGATCTCTACCAAGTTAATACATTTGCCAACATTAAAGAATATTTGTAACTCAATCCAGATCAAGACAGCATTTGAAATGTTTGAAGAGCTAGGACATCAAAATTAGTTTGAATAATTCTTTATGTCCGAGTTGTCCCTAAGCAAGGAATAGCTTTACAATGTCCCCTTCTTCCTTAAGGCCCATGTGAAGCTAATACTTCTCTCAACAGAACCCCAACAGCACATGTCACTTGCAGAGAGTTGAAGGAGTCCCACTGTCTCACAGCAAGAACACTACTGGGTTTTATGCCATATATATTCTGTTAGTAAACTTGTCATCACTTCTCCTTGGGTGGATCCTCATGCTTCAGATCTGAGAGTTACAACTGATGTGTGACTCCTTAAGAGGAATCAGGAGCTATTCAGGGTGGCCAAACTTAGAGACTGAGCTTAGACATCGACCTCAGGAGAGTGCTCTGGTTACCTAAAGTGGGTCCCAACCTGTATCACCCTCAGGAGGAGCCTGTCTCTAGTGACTTATAAGGAAACTAGAACTAAGTATAAAGCCAAGATAAAATCAATAAATACTGTAATTTGTGTCAAATTCAGATAAGCCGAGGTGGAATCAATGGAAACAATGGAGCTCTCAAGTCTGACATGAAGTATGCAGCATATGCTTGAAATGCCACTGCATTTTGACTGAATGCTCTTTTTCTGAGGGTTTATCATTCATTTCAGTTAAACAGAGATAAATATACTCCGAGGACTTTCAGCAGTTTAATTAAAATTTACACTGTTTATTAAGGAATAGATTTAATTTCCAGTGGCACGCGTGACAACATAACCATTTAGGCATCTGCAGTCACGCTTTTTTTCATTTGGTGGGAACATACAAGAGAAAATAAGCACAATCCAATCATCAGGATTCTGTTATGGGTTATGAGCAGACAGAGCAAAAGGGCCAACTGCTGTGTCTGATCACACTCAGCATTTGATACGGAGGCATGAAAACAAGCAGATGACTTGCCTTCTCACTTCACCAATGTAAATCGGACCTGCCATCACAATTGGTGGGGCTGTGCTGGTGTGACACTAAAGAAAACCAGGGTCAAAGTCTGCAGGTTGCTGTGATAGAGATGGATCACTCTGCAAGTTGTGCTTTCTGCATGCTGCCTTTCGAAGGTGAAAACAAGGGCTCTCATATGAATGCCTCAAGGCTTTTAGTTCCGCTAAGACGCTATGTTGTGTTTCGGATTTAACTAGAATATAAGGAACAACCAGTGGTAAGTCTATTGAATAAATCTCTATCCGTACACATAGAGCAGAGAAACACATTCTGCTTGCTCTGAAGATTCTGCTTTCCTTCATGTTCTGTTGAGGGAATGCAGAAAGTATCTTTATAGCAACAGGCACACTTGATCCAGATAAAGCTAGCAAAGTTGTGGCGAAGGATGCAGTCCAACACAACTTCAGTTTGGTCAGGTGTGTGTTTTTCTTGGGAGTGATTTCAACTATGTCAACAAGATTACGTGCTGATGTGTTAATCTCTGATGGATATGCTTACAAAAGGTTAATATTTGAAAGCATTAAAATTCTATATAGCTGTGACCCAAAGCTTGACCTAATTGTAGAGTGTTGTCTTGCAGCTGTAATAAAACATAGGTTTTATTTATGAATCTGTAAATTTGATAATGTGCAATGTCTCTTTATTTTTTTCTTTAAATGGCTCACATCATTAAACAACTTAGTGTCTGAAAAACCAAGTTGTAATTATTGAGTAGGTATCAGCTCCATGCACAGAGCATCAGAAAAATTGGTGTTTGAGAAAATTTGGTACTGGTTGTTTGTTCACAGAGGTGTCTTTGTTTATCATTAGGACTTAATTTTTGAAACCACTTACAGGAGCTTTCTAAGGATTTTTTTTTTTCCTCCTCTGTTGTTTTCCCCCGTCTGACCTATTAATGTGTTTCAGTGACAGCTTGACATTTGAGGGCAAAGTATGTCAGTGACCTTTGGAAGATGACTTGAAAGAGACCTCCTCTCTGTTCAAACATCACAGCAGCCGAGTGAAAAAATCCCTTGGAAAATGTGACTTGAATCAGTGCCCAGGTTGCCCCTGCTCTTGGGATGTGGGTTGCTGAATAATAGTACAGAAAACAAAAAACTGGGAAATAATTTTTGAGATAATCTTTAGTCAGCAGTATATCCAGTGGGTCAAAGTTTCCTTTCAGTGGCACTCCTGTACACTAGGAATAGCATTATATTAGCAGAGTTATAAGAAAATAAATCTGTGTAAACGCAGGGCCAGGCCCTTAAATGTCTCAAAGGATTGTGCTTCTTGAAATAAAAGATAGAGCCAGATTCTGAAATGTAAATTTTTTTGTACTAATCTTGTTAGAAAATATATCTTACAGTGACATACCATTTCAAAATACAGTAATTTTATTAAAAAAAAAAATCATGTGCTATTTTACTTTTGCAGATTTAGGGTTGCCATATAGATTCTGGAACATGATTTCCCTTCCCAGTGTGTATCACCGTAATGATTTTCAGTAAGAGTGTTTGAGTTTTACATTCTTCTCTTTTAATGAATTTTGCAGATTTAGATGTATTGGAGTAGAATAAATACTGCTTTTCTAGACTCCAGCAACAGCTCTTACAAGAATTACTATACTCATATCTGTGTACTCCTGCACACTGTTTCATGGAGCAAACCAATTCTAAAGGCCTCCAGTCCTTGCACAGGCAGTCTTTACTCACAGAGACAATCCTATTGACTGCAGTGCTACTGGTTTGCAAGTAGCAAGATTTACTCACTGGGAGCTGTAATGTGGAATCCTCTTTTATTGTGTCTCCCCTTCTCAATGTTTACCTGACATGTTTAATGTTTCCTCATTAGGAGTTTAACTTCAAGGAATCTCTCTTCAAAGTACTGAAGGTAGAATACTATCTTCCATCCTCTTTGAGAGCATGCTGCTGCCTAGAGCCCATATTGTACAGGCTTTATGTCACAGCAGTGGGCTACTGAATGTGAATGTGGACAGTGCTTACAAGGTGTGGAAAAGGCCTGCAATATGCAAACCACTGAGATCACTTCAGGAAATACATCTTTTCATACATACTAGAAAATTATTTTTACATGAATACATTAATACATTTACTATGTTTCCAACATCTTAATCTACAAATCCACTAAAAATACCTGTTTGTCGTGTCTTCTTTGGAATGTGTGTGTGTGTTTTGCAGTGTTGAGAAACATGGCTGAAATGCAGTAGCCACATGCATCCATATGGAAATTTTCTCTTGCACTAAAACCCCACTTATTCCAAATGTGTGCACTAGTGAGGTGTCCAGATACACTGTCATGAATACTGGATCAGTCAGAATAAATCTGTTGAAGTCACACAAGTGATTTCAGGTACCCTAGAGCATTTTTCTTCAATAGTTTTTAAGGAGATACAACAGACAAAACCAGCTTGCTGACAGCTTACTCAGTCATGCAGAACCCAACACAAGATGCAATAGCATGTCCAAGTCAAGCAGTGTCTGAGAGGCTGGGCACACACACTGCTGGTGGGATGTGTTACGGGTGGTGACCAGGGGCCATTTATTCCAGGTTCTGCTGGTTTCAGGTTAGTATCAGACACATCTGCTGTCCTCGCATACCGAAATAACGGAACTAGAGATGGTAAGTGCCGCAATTTATATTCACCTACAAGCTAATGAAAGGTGGAAGGCAAGCTCGTTTTTGTGGGCATCATGTTGTGCCACCAAACGAAGGTTCATACCAGAGCAGCAAGACGTGTTCTCCCATCTAGAATCCTGCCCCTTCCACCCTTCCCCAAGGAACTGGGCCACTCTCCCTAGTTAGGCCTTTGTAAGTAGGCCAGTGACATGTTTCAGAAGGGAATCTTTTAACATTTCTTGGATCTCTGAGAATTTGTGTAAATTTTCTTTGGCTCTTTTCTACTCCCTAGTTGGTTGTCACTGTGAGACCTGTGAAGAATGCTGTGAAAGTACTCTTAGTTGGTGTAGGATGACACGTGGAAAGAGTCATGGAGCGTGCTTCCATAGTCTACATTAAGCCACAGGTGCAGGATGAGGAGAAGTAAAGAAGTATATTTGCTGCAGGATTTCTCATTTCTCTCTGACACTCCTTCCTTAATTTGCCTTTCAGATGATCTTCAAGGCGCTAGGATTTTGGTTTGCATGTGTTAACGCCATGGTGAAAAGCATTTCCATAGGCTTGGAAGAGGATAACCCTAGCAGCAAGACAAGTGGCTTCGTGGATGCATAAAGCATTTTGTGAGGGGAAAGGGAAAAAAGAAAATTCATATCTTCAACTCAAGCACCTAGTTCTTATTTCTTTACATAGCCAACTGCTGGGGGTTGTTGGGCTAAGGGCAGGTAAAGTATAAGCAGAGAAAAAAGGAGGAATGGGGAAATGGTTTCCTTTGAAAGAAGCAGCTCTTTACCTGAAACAAGTTAAAAATCAGCATGTAACACTTTTGGAGATCTGAATGTGAAGGATTTTTAAGTGAATATAAATCAAACCAACAAGGAAGCAAAGGCAAAATAATATGTAAAGAAATGAGACCAAACAAGCATTTACAGATGCACAATGATATTCAAGGAAACAAAAAGAACGTTAATTAACTGTTGAAAGAGGAATAATTCTGTGAATAATTTTATCTCATTTAAAAGGTTTAATGCTCTGGAGAACTTGGACAAATTATACACATACAGCCAGCAGGCCCACAGCTGGGGGCTATGTTAAACACATATATCCTATTTAAAGAAGAAGGAATGAGAAGACCCCCTCTGGTACACAGAGGGTAGTGATGGGGACTGACGTTTCCTTAAAATCCTGTCTGTCACCTCAGAAAGGAGAAGTCAGAACTCGGGTCTCTAAGCTGAAACGAGCGGAGTCATGCGAGATGCACTGGGATGACACACTGCGGTGAGTACATTGCCTCAGTTAGTCGCAGTTCTGCCTCACCCAGAGAGCTTGGGGGACTCGAACCGGCGGCCTACCGGCCTCGCCTACGCGGGCGGGGCGTGGAGGCGCGGGGCAGGGTGGTGAGCGGAAGTGAGGCAGTAAGAGCGAGCCGCGGGCGTGACGGTGGAGCCGGTTGTTGGGCGGCCATGAGCTACGAGCAGCGCCGGGACTGGGGCCGCGGCGGCGATGGCGGGCCTTCCTCAGCCGCGGGGGGACACGGGGGCCGCGGCGGGGGCCGCGGCCGCCACCCAAGCCACCTCAAGGGCCGTGAAATCGGGCTGTGGTACGCGCGGAAGCAGGGTCAGAAGAGCAAGGAGACGGACCGGCAGCAGGTGAGGGGCGGCCCCCTTGGGGCAGAGGTACCTCTTGTGCTCCCGGTGCTGGGGCGCCTCGTTCTGCTCACACAGCGCGGGAGGGGGGCTGCGGCAGCCCAGCCGGGAGGGAGCCGACTCAACGGAGCCCTTAACGGGGAGAGGGCGGCGGCCGGGCCGGGCCTCCGTGTTAGAAGTGAGTGCGTTTATTTATGTGTCAGGTACATGTTGGTGAGAGTTGTTCTGCTTTTCTTTCAGAGAGCCGTCGTGCGTATGGATGAACGTAGAGAAGAGCGAATTGTGCAGCTCTTGAACACTGTCCAAACTAAAAATGAAAAAGAGCAAGAAGCCATGTCCTGGTGGTCTGGGGATGAAGAAGGGTAAAGAGAAACAGTTACTAATGCTTTTATTTACTTTGACTTGAACAAGCTTCGCACAGACTGACAGGAAGATACGTTAGAAGTTATTTACATGTAGCTAGTGAGTTAGGTTAACGAGCACTCAGTCTTTTCCACAGGTACTGCCATACTGAAACAGCTGGTTGTAACCATTGCTTGTAAACAGCAACCCTTCCCGGTTGTTGCTGACTTTGGGGTGTTAATTTCTCTTTAAAATTGTAAAAGCCTGTAATTGATCTC